ATATATATATATATACATATATATATATACATATATATACATACATATATACACACATATATATACATACTTGCATGTATATATGTATATATATATGTATATATACATATATATATATATGTATATATATTATATATACAAAGTATATATTTATATATATATATATGTATATATTTACTTTGTGTATTTATATATATATATATATGTATATGTACTGGAGACTATACGATAATATGTGTGTATAAAAATATAACGTCTATTGTTTTTACACAGAAAAATAACATTAAATATTGGCAATCAAACATTAAAAGTTTAATTTAAAGACAAAATATACAACAATTTCACAGCAAAAAATATTTTGTCTTATTATTATTTTAAATTCAAAATCTGGTGATACTGATTTGCTTCCATACCAAACTTCTCAGTATGAGAGCCATTTCCTTTGATTGTCAGGTTGGATTTTATCCATTTGTTTTGATCAATTCCACCAAAAATCAACACAAACAACAACATATCTAACATAATTTACTACCCCACCCACCCCTCCCAAGCCACACAGTGGCCTGGCAATAAAAAAAATCTTGATCAGAAAAGAATCAAACTTATTAGGTTTATAGTCTTCTTATTACAATTGTTAAAAGTACAGTTGTGTAAAAAGTAAGACAGATGTACAGTCAGTACAAAGTACATTTTGGTTGTAAAGTTCAAGTCTTCCCTTTGTCCCTCTGAAAACTAACTCTATGATGACCTGTAGGTGCCCGTTAACCAGGTGTGCACCAGTAAATTGATAGTCACATGACATTTTCTTATTAAAGAATTACACACGTGCATTTGCAAACACACTCTGAAAAGTATAATTGTAACCTGCGGACGGATCGATACTGAGAGCTTGACAACAAACACGCAGAACTCGCAGTGAGGGCAGTACAATCATTACTGAAAGAAACTTCTCGCGTTCAAAAGACAAACAAAAAAATGACCTACAATGATGCTAATGTTTGGTTTTTAAATTTCTTTAGATTGTACACAATTTTTGTACCATAACCATCACGGATATGGTTGAAAAACATTAATTTCTTGTGATTTGAACAGATTCTTGAATTAAAAAGAGGCTAAATGTTTCACTAGTATATTTATATTTTTCTCCATATTTATAATATAACCTAATTTTTGGCTGAGATCTGACGATTGCATTCATTCTGACATGGAAAATATTGAACACTACCATTTTCAGCCACAAGAGGGCCCTCGACAATTATGGCAAGCCAAGTGTCTCATTAATATCCTGATGCATGCTCAATAATCCAGGTAGAAAAATCCAA